CCGATGGTGTCGTACGACGATAAAATTAATTACGTGAGCGATGCAGCATTAATAAGGCGACGTGTCGTTTTGGACTGCTCTTTGCACCCACTCTGGGGCGCAACATTCTACAAGGATGGGCCCAATCCAGGTTGGACCACTTCGTTTTGTGGGCTCTTCGGCCCAATTCACGCGTCTCCCAAAACTTGTGGTTGCGACATTATCAAAATGTCAACTTGACACGTCACGCTGTGGGACTTTAATTGGATTTTCTTTTTTTCTTCTTTTTTCATTTTTATGGGGGCATTTGACTCGGTCCACCAATTCAAACGTCATCCTAAAATAGAGGTTTATTATTATTATTATTATTATTATTATTATTATTATTATTATTTATTTATTTTTGTTAAAATATTATTTTCATCATGGTACTTCAAAAATATTTGTATTTTAAAAATGACTATTTTAGTTCTTTAATTTCGTTTTTTATCACAATTTCAACACAACACTGTACTAAATATATTTTTTGAAATGTAACCCTGAATTTATAATAAAAGGTTTTTGTTGCGTGTATAATTTGCATTAAAATTTTACGATCAGTGACCAAAATGATCAATTTTTACAAATATAGAAATTAAAATAAATATTTTAAAAGTACAGGAACTAAAGTTAAAAATACATATACCAAAATAAAATAATGACCAAAATGAAACTAAAACTGATACTACATTAACCAAAATAACAACGTTGGGTTGTTTTTTAAGTTTCTCTAAACTTTGAAGCTAAAAGAAATAGTTACGAAACAAGTGTTCAAAGTAAAATAAAGATTTTACTGCGTCTAACTTTCACAGTTAGTCTCAGTTATTTTACATAATGTAAACCAACCAATTGATCGAAGTTAGTGAACGTGGTGGTTGGAGAGTCGAAGGGGAAGGTAGGTGGTGGTAAGGCAAGGGAAGACGATGGTGGGAGGGGGGCCAAAGTGAAACTTTTTTTTTTTTGGGTTGAGGGGATGATGGTAGTCAGTTTTTGATCATTCAAAATCAACTATAAACAAGGTCAATTTAGTCGGTTTAAATTAGGATGGTTGGTATTTTTTTTAAGGTTCTTTGGTAACGTTATCGTTTTTTTTTTCTTATTTTTTAATAAAGAAAAATATAATTGTCTTTGGTAACTATTTTTTTTCTTTATTTTTTAATTAAAATATTAAAAAAATTATTCCGTTAGAAATGAAAACAAAAAAACAAGAAACAACAACGTTACTAAACGAGCATTTATCGGTACCAAAAAAAAGTTTCCTTAGGACATTCAAAACCATGACAAGATTTTGCAAGATCCGAGATAGACTGAAATGTGATGTTAGAATTGCAAAACTACATTTCAAGATTGATCAAAATGTTGGGAGATGGATTTGAACCTATGTTGTATGTCATTGAAATTGTGTTTGGTAATAAATTATAAATCTGTGACACACACAAAATTATCAAAATAAACAAAAATCATTAGTAACAAAACATAGTTAAAAGGTAAAATCCAACAGTTGCTGCGTTGCATCAGTTAATTTATGAATTTATAAGAATATGGAAAAATATGTATTTGGTCAAACACGTATTTAGTTATAATGTTTTAGTACTAGTACTTATTTGTAACGATTTAATTTAATACTTTTATAATTTAAGTGTTATTAAATTTTTAATTGTAAGAAAAAATAACCGAGGTATAAAATATAGACAAGTTAATAAAACAAAAACAATTTTTTGAGTTAAAAAATTCAAGGTGATTAAATCATTTACAATAAACTCATTTTCTATGTTCCAATTAAATTATATTTAAATTTAGGTTAAGATACTACTTGGTCGGTGTACTTTTAAAAAGTGATCATTTTAATTTCTATTTACAAATTTGTCATAAACTCTAATGGAAACCAAATAAAGTTATGGTTACATTTTATGAAATATTATCGCGTTGAAATTATAAAAGAAAAAATAAAATTAAGGGATAGAATGGTGACTTTTTAAAAATAAAACCAAAACAAACCTTTCGAATATATAAGAACTAAAATTAAAAATAGAAGGATCAAAATAAAAATTTTAAAAACTCAAAATTAAAATGAATCAGAACCAAAATAATATTTTAGCCTTAATTTTAATAGATGTTAATATTTATGCCTTCTAAAAGCACAAGACTATTAAATAAATATATAAAAGATTCAAAATGTTGCAAGAGATTATTACTCAGCTTTGAAAAATCTATCACCTCAACAAACTCATCATCAAAAGAACATTTGGTTTCATAATAAAAATAACTAAATTAAGCGTGGCAGCAGAGGTCATAATTATCTATTGCAGCGATTAAATATGAGAAGAGATGAAATTTCAGGCCAAAGAGATTCCCGACTCGAAAATAAACATTGATCGATCGGTGACAATTACTCTACTTTTAACTGCTGATTTCTCTATCGACTTTCGTTCTCTTGGCGCTCGGCATTTCTGGCACACTACTACTACTTCTCTGCTGGAACACCGGGTCGTGCTGATACGAGCAATTAGCTCCATGTCGACATCCCCTCGAGCTGTTAAAATATATGCAAGGCTTCATTATCTTGGACTTCCCATCTCTTGATGGCTGGTTATGTAAGAACTCCTGGTTTGCTCCTGATGGCTGGTTGTGTCGGTTCCCAAATTGCGGCCGAGGGGGGTCGTCTTGTCGCTCTCCTCCATGTTGCTGAATCAAGCTTTTATAGTAACTCAAGTCCTTCATTGGAGGTCCAGTAGAGGGCAGGGAAGAAACTGGAACACCCCTTGAGGAAGAGTGTGGATTGGGGAGAGGCCCTACACTTGCTCCATTTGGTTGAGCCAAAAAATGATTACCCGATACAGGCGTTGCCGAGGCATTACTTTCTATCTTATGCATTTGTCCGAGCGATAGGTTGGGAGATGGTATTGGCTTTTGACTGTTGGTGACTGCACCTGAATCCACGACCAGCTGTTCAATCATTTTCGGATTGTTGAGGATCTTAACGAGCAGTTCACGGTCGATCGAGCTGCCTATCTCATTGCTCTTCACGAGCACACTGAGTGCTGCTGATGCAGCAGCTACAACATCAGGTTCGTTGACAAGATCCATACCAGCCATGGTGCTCCCACTGGAAGTAGAACACATTGAATTCGGCAAAATATGCAGAGACGTAGATGTACCAGCAGGAACGAATAGAGAGGGCTGAGCACTCATAAGGACAGCGGCTGGACTTGCGAAATCAGTCGAGGTCTCGGTTGTTGCATCTTCATCTTCAATAGGAGTAATGGGAATCAGAGGTGTCCGACTGTCATCGACATCAGTACGTTCTGAATCAGCTGCTATGGCAGGGCTGAATATAGATGCAAATCAAAATAGTTTTTCAGTATTAAGAATAACAAACAAACCAATGCCAAAAGAAAATCACAAGGAGCAAAGAAAGTAATCAACTTTGGAGGAATCGCAGACGCCCGAGGATAAACCGCTTCGAGTACTCTCATCTCTCTCTGATTTTCAACCTCTACCTCTTGGCTTTCTTCACCAACAACCACTCGCCATGTCAAATTCAGCACAAACTACGGGAATAAACATTAAAAGGAAAAGAAAGGGAAAAAGAACTGCCATGGGACAAAAAAGCATGAATTTCATGTTAAACTTGAAGAGCCATAGTTCCTAGTTCAACATTAAAAATCGAAAATTGGAATCACTACTTACCTTAGGTGGACATTGCCATTGATTTACAGGAATTTGTGAGAGCTTAATCTGCAGCTGATTCTCTGGATGAGCTACTTCAAATCCGGGAGGCAAAATGTCATCCGAACCAGAACCACTAGAATGCAAGAGCCACGACGTCTTTGCTTGAAGGTGATCTTGAGCACCCAACCCCACTTGGGAAGGACAATCCTCTGACAAAAACAGCCTAATCTGGAAAGGAGAGATGCATTTTATTAATCGGGGGAATTGTGCCGCACACTACTAGAAGAGCCAAACTAGAACCTGAACCAACCATACAAAATAGAACTCTAGTCCAGAAATAATAAGTCCCAACGAATAATTGCGAAAATTCCTAGACGCCACAAGTTTACTTCATAAAAGGATACATGTTACCTTTCAACAAATATGTTTATATAGTATATGTTTGAATGAAATTACAGGCTTAATATTTATAATAATATTAAATAATGTTACAATTATAAAACTTTTAGCTCACTAATATCAACAATTTATTAAACTTAAAATGTACATGATGCTAGCATAATATTATCATTTATTGAATTAGATGTATATACATAAAAGTAATACTGTAATTTTATTAATATATAGAATAACATTAATCATAGTCCTGTAACGTGTTATGGCTAAGCTTAAAATAAAAGAAACCATTAAATGTAGGTAATATTCTTGCATTCTTAAAAAGAGCATGCCTATGAACACAACATTTATTATAAAAAAAAATGACATGTACAATACAAGAAACCCTGATGTGTTAAATTTGACATATTCTCATAGTATTTAGGAATTTGATAGTATCACAACATTTACTAATAGAAATGCAAGAATATAGATACCAATAGAAACAAGAGAATTATATTGATAATGAATAAGAAAATACAAAAGGATACCCAAGTAATAAGAGGAACTCGACTTGACTTGGAACCTCCCTCTTAAGTAAACTCAAGCCTGAAGTGAACGACCCAAGCCATTGCCTGCCTTCATCCCCTCCCATTTCCTCTATTATAACCAGCTCCTACTAACAAACTTTTTGGCTACCAACTAATATACCCTTAGGCCTTAGTGTCCTATAACATTTCTAACATCCACCCTAATGGTACTCCTAACAGATGCATACTCTATACATGCCATTCTGATAGTTTATTGCTATTATTGTGCAAAACTTAAAGCATTCTAACCAAACAAACGAGTACTTGTGCTATTTTACAAAAAAGATTGAGCAGCCTCGAGGCATGTCCCTTGAAGAATAGAAGGGTACCCCTCAAGGTACTATGAAGATGCCTTAATCTAAATAGAAAATTAGGAACAAAAATATAAAATGATGTATTATAAAACATAATGACCGTACAGAAGTATTAGAAAGAATCTCATGTCCACAAAATGTCACTTTCTTAACTAAAGATTCTAAAGGTTATTCTCAACATTATCATCACAATGGTAAAGTGAAGAAAACTATTTCTTAACTTCAGTCATCAGTGTTCTGTAGCCTAAGTGGTAAAAGAAATAATGAGCTAAATTACATACATTAGTGGACTTCAATATCTTGAGGAATAGGGTGCTGAATGACATTCTTCCTCAATCTAATTACATGAGGTGTATGTTCCCAATCCATTGATTTCCATCACATGATTGATTTAATTTTAAACTCAATAGTTGAAATGTGACATAGAAAATTCCCATTTACCACTCTATTCCCAGGATATTAGAAATTTGGGGCAAAACCAGAACCAAGCCACAAGAATTAAAAATATATTCTTCACAGAGATAGCCAGTGAGTAAAGAAGAATAACTGTAAACCTCCAACAAAAACAGCAAAGGTTCAAAACACACATAATTCAAGGTATAAACGAAACTGTAAACACGTTTAATCAAATTAAGCCCTAAAAACGCCGGGTTTGAACAGAGGAAATGTAGTTTTATACCTGACGGAGATTAACATCTGAAGCCCATGAAACTCTTCTCCCTTTATGCAATCCTCCTCGCATATTTACAGGAAGTAAACTTCCTTCCTTGCTTCAAAACTTCCACCGGTTCGGTTAAGGGACGGAATTCGATTCCGATGAGAATGGAAACCCTACTGCTATCTCTTCGAATCGAATCAGGAACGGAATTCAAAGTTTTAAAGAAGAAGTATCTTCCCTCATTACTTAATCGAAACGTATCGACGAGCTATGCAAGGTGGAATTGCAGAAGGCTGATCCAAATTTGCATGTAACATAAACAGGACAGAGAGATCGAAAGAAACCCTAGATCCTCTGGTTCTGGCTTTCCCTCCCGGCTACAGCCAATCCAGCCTCAAAATTTTCTTTTGCCTTTTTGTTTTCATATTCTGAGTAAACATAATATTGTGTTTAATTTGGTGTGTAGCACAACAAAAATACTCACTCTTCACCCTAATAAAAAATTTAGTTTTTTTATTTTTCAAAAAATATATAAAGTATTTATTTCCTACCTCTTCCTCCCACTTATTTATTTTGCTTATTTTGATCCTATTAAACAAAATGTTAAAAATTATAAAATTATGGTTACATCTAAAATATATATATATATAGTATTGTGTTTAAATTGTTATAGAAAAAATGAGATTAAAAAATAAATAAATAAGCTAAAATTGTCGTTTCTAAAATTACAATAATCAAAACTTTGAAAGTAAATTGATTAAAATGAACTAAATTTTAAAGTAAAAAAAAAACAAAATAAACTAAAGATGATAATATAGAAATAAAAATAGTATTTTAACACTTACTTAAACTTTCAAAATGTCTATTTAATAATATTGATATAATTCAACTTCCGACCTAATTATATATGTTTACGTTGAGCTATGTTTCCGTTGTTTTCTAGAAAGTTTAAAAAAAAAAGAAAAAAGAAAAAAAAACACACACATATATATATGTTAGGTCTTCATAAAATATTTTAATTATATTGAACCAGATAAACAAAACATATATAAATATATAAGGGAGTACACACAAAAAACGATAAGAAAGAATTGATAGACAACCGACATAATACATTTTAAAATAAACCTTTTATATCATATCAAATTACCAAATAATAATGTTTTTTTTAGTACATGTCAATGATATCATATAATAATGCTAATGAAAAATACTTAATTAAAATTGAAAATTCAAGAAAATAATTACATTTTGTTTTTCAATTTTATAGCATAAATGATATAGTAATAGAGACCAATAAACTTTACAAATTTATTTAAAATTTATGGGGTCATTAACATATGTTCTACACAATTACATTTTGAAATTCATTACCAACGATTTAAGCCCCGTGTGATTCGGCATCATTTTAACACAAATTCGTATAAATATATTTTAAATATATAATATATTTTCTTTTCTTTTTTGGCGTTATACTGCTAAGCGAGCACGGGAAACTTTGCTATGAACTTCTTCATATTAATTTAATATATTTTTAATTGCATTTCGTTTATTGAAGTTAAAATATTCTTCTATTTAAGATGGTTCTGAAGTTATACTAACAATTAATTTTTAAAATAAAAGCTAAAAATTTGAAATACAATATATTATTACTTGTTTGATTTTCTTTTTCTTTGAGACATTACTTGATGAAAGTATCTTTTCGAGAAGAAAAGAAACAATTTTATAAGTTAAAAAATCAAGCAATAAGAAAAAGTAATAAGTTGGTTTCATCTCTCTTCCTCTACTTTCAACCCATTCATTTTTGTCTCTATATTTTCAATACATTCATTTTCGTATCTATACATTCAAAACATTAGTTTATATATTTTTAGAAAACAATCATTTTGATTCATGCTTGCAAAATTTTAACACAAATTCTATACCAACAGAAATTCTTTAATATAAAATTATAACTACATTTCAATAAATATATTGAATATAGCGTCATGTTGAAATTAATATAAAAAAAACGTAAAACTAAAACTATCACCTTTTAAAAGTAAAGGGACCAAAATAAACATCTCAAAAGTACATGATTAAAATAGAAAAAAAATTGAAAGTACAAAAACGAAAATAAAAAAAATAAAAAATAAAAAAAAATTGTGTATATTATTCCCGATAAGGTTGTGTAAATTATAAGATTGTTCAAGGGCCCAATCACCAACCTGTCAAATCTACAAAGATATGACTATCAGATTACAAGTTTATTTTATTTCTAGAGGGCTCAAGAGCAACACTTATACATTATAATTATAATATTGAAATCTCCCCATATCCAAAATCATTCGTATGTTATCAAAGCGAGCATAATTCAACGATAATTGACATATATTTTCAACTAAAAACCTATTGGTTAGATCTCCCGAATGTTGTACTAAAAAATTACTCCTGTGTTATTTAGCACCATATTTTTCCAAATGAATGAATGAATAAAGAAATCCAAGCAACACTCCAATAAATAAGTTATAACAACTAATAAAACTCTCTCTCGAGTTGCAGGTAAATAATAATAATAATAATAATCAAGTTAACTCCCTGTTGGTTCCTTTCTAACCATATAAATGGTAAAATTACAAACAGATTTGAGCTGAAAAACAAACCTACTAGTTAAAATGATTAAAATGTAACCATTTTCAGTGCCGTGACCCAACTTCTGCCTGAATTTCAAAGTGAAAAGTTAAGGTATTAGATACATGGGGAATAGAAATAAGAGAGAGCCCAACCATATTTCGATTATTCAGGTAAAAATCTGAAAAAAAAAAACAAAAAAACAAAAAGAACAAGAAATATATCCTTTGAATCTCTTCATCACATTGTAGTTATCTCAAGCACATACACAAGCAAAACCATTCGTCACAAACCTACTGAATATCAGGCACACAATGACCAACAACTTGTAAATTACAAACAGAAGATGAAATTTTTTTTGAAAGGGAAGTGTGGGAAAATGGAGGGATGACAAACAAACAATTAGATAGAAATAGAAATAGAAATTTACACATCTTTCCTGAGTAGACCCATATCTCTTGGCTTGATTAGCTATGCGTCATGATTCATGAAAATGTAGATCAGAAATTAGCTGTGCACACATTGAGGTCAAATTGTCTCCTTGCATATTTCAATCCAAGCTGGTGACGACCACGTCGTTAGCTGCTTACCTCCGCCACATTTTCTCTGAAAGTAGGATTCAAAAGAGAAGATATGACTTTTCAAAAGAACAAGTATGATGATATAAGATTATATGTAACTTTAGACATTTGCCAGACTAGTTCTTGCTTTTGAAAGTTCTTCCTGTTAGGGAACCTCCTCACTCGCCCCACCCCCTCCTCCTCCCCAAACAAAAGACAAATATAATGATGATAAGTGCTAGCAATTGTAATGACAATATGATCAACCGGCTGAAAATTGAGGCCTCCATTAATAGCAACCTATCATGAACATGACACAGCACATGCATGCACACCCTTGAATAACTTTATGTTGTAAATTTGTAGATACACGCACAAAAACAAACATGAATTTACATATAGTAACATGCTATCAATACTTGAGCTCGTGTTGATTTAAATATATGAACACCAACACTTGAGCCTGAACAAATTTACGCATCCAGACATCAATACTTGAGCAGGCCAGACCAAAACTTGTGCTTGTAAGTGCATATGAAACCTTTTTGTTTTTACTATTGAAATTAGATTTGGTTCAGAAGGTATTGAATTTATACTCCTTTTGACCATAATTTTTCGTCTTGCTTCCATTTCTCTCTCTGTTATTTGTTTATTTGGGGGTTAAAGCAGAAAAATCAGTGAGATTCAATTAAGAGGAATGCATACCATTTCCCTTCACTCCCTGCTGGGCTTTAGGTGTTGGCTGTTGAACGCGTGGAGATCCTTGCCGACCATCAGCAGGTAAGGAGTGTCTTTTCTTGATGTATAGTTCTCTATCTTGAACATCCGGGCTTGATCTTGGAGAGTTAGTCGACTGAACCTTGGCTCTAGCAGATTCTGTGGCTTGCATGAAGTGAGGAAGAGAGTTACTGCTACTGCTCTCTTTTAATTCCTTTTCAACATGATCTGGTCGTGCTGAATCAAATGAATTTCTTCTCTTCCCACTCTTTTGATCTTTGAAAAGATTTTCCGTGCTGCTTCGTGTGCCAGAATTGCGATTTAGACTGGATGGTGATTGCTTTCCTGCTGATGACTTTTGCTTTTGGTAAGAACCTGTTTTATCAGTTTTATCTCGTTTAGCCTTTACTGATACCTGACTAGATGGCGTCCCTTGGGATTCGGGAACAGTTAAATGGCTTCTTGGAGAAGCTTCCGGGGATGATCTATATGCTTGATGGCCCGTATCAGCCTCCTGTTCTCTCTGTTGATCCGGTGAACTTCTCCCTAGTTTTGATTCACTTGGTGCAGAGTCTACAACAGCTACTGAAGTGATGGCTTGACCATTAGATTCAATAGCTTCTTCTGGTTGATCCAACTTGGAATGACCGTTAGATTCACTACTTTCTTTTGGTTGATCCATGAGAAGTTGGAAGTCATTTGGCATTGGAGAGGTAGAAGAACCTTTGACTTCAACTTCCGTGCTTACATCACTGCTAGGATTTTCGTCTCCTTTCTTTAAAACATCATTTGCATGTCGATCTGAAAGTCCTGCTTCAGATATATCAGGTGAATCGAGAGTGGAAGAAATAGAGAGCTCGGGGCTACATTCAGAGCCACCAACTTGAATTGCCCTAGATCCAGGAAGGACAATATTTTCATCTGCACTTGGCTCCTTCGCCCTCGGTACAGTATCTGCTGAAGATGAAACTGTTTCTGAATGAGGTTCAATTCCATCATCCTCATGCATTGAACTAGTTGTTCCAATTGAGTCTGGTGCTGAACTCAACTGTTCAAATTTTGCCTGGGCAGTGATAAATGAGGGATTGCTTACCTTTCTTGATCCAAGCACAAATTTCTTACCCTCATTCTCCAGTTGTTCAGGGGCTACTCTTTTCAGAGGATTGACTTGTTCCATGTCCATTTGAGGCTTCTCGAAAAGGGAGTTCAACTCTTTTTGCAGACTAGCATCATCCAACTGTATTTTCTGATCTTTTAGCGAACTAACCTTAGTTGATGTCTCTTTTGCTTCAGATGTTGCATTCTCAGGCTGAGACTGCTCTAGATTATCTTTTACTGACAAAGATGGAGAGAGGCAGGTTTGAAATTGTAAGTTATTGGCATCATAAGTAATTAAATCTTCACTTTCAGATGGCGAAACTGATTTAATGGTGCTGGAGTTCAGATCTTCTGTTTCAGAGACAGCTTTTGTGTCAATTCCATCTTCAACAAGAGACTCCTCGATTTCTCTTTCCATTTGCTCGGTGACTGGTTCTGCTTTCTGAGGCTCCAAAACATCCAATGATGAAACAGCCATCCAGCGCTCCAACCATTTCCAAGCAGAATCATTTTTGGAAGGATCACACTTGATATTGATTTGTTTTTTTCTCGGTGCTGATTCCAACAACTTCAAGTACAAAATTGATGGATTAAAGATTCATAAATTAGAGAAGATAAGCATACCATATATTTTCCAAACAACATATTAAAACATACTAACATTATCAAAATACCTGCCGGGCAAAACTATTGCTTAGTAGCTTTTCAATTGAAATATATCTCAAATTGGATTTTGTCATCTCTTCCTTTACCTGTAATAAAAAATATATGATTAAGACGAGGAAACAAAAATTCTCTACGAATAACATAAACAAATATATACTCTGCTACCACAAGTCAATCAAAATACAATCTAAGAAAATCTAAATGGTACGAACAGAACACTAAGTGTTTAACTAAAGAAGATAAGGTGGGTCCAGATTCCCAAGATGGCATGGTTTAGAAACCAGTAGAATTACCACGATCTTTGAATCAGGATTTTCCTTCCCATTCTTCTTTTGCAGCAAGTCTGGAGTCGATCCCTCAGGAGAGAGATGAGCACGACGAGCACGGACAATAGCTTGCATTTTGACAATGGCTTGAGCACAGCGAAGTGTTCCCACAGCATGTCTCCTTACCAAGAACCCACGAACAGCAGCTTGCACTTTTATTACATTCTTAAGTTTAAGCAGCTCTCTCTGTGCCTGCCAATATGAATTCATGGATGGAGATGTTAGAATCTTATCGAACGACTGACAATAATCTCATGATAGAGAATTTATGGAATGGAGAATACCAAGAGCCCCCTGATACCAGCCTGGATGACAATAACAATAGACTCCTCAACCTGGCTATCAACCTTACTTTCATTTTCAGATGCAACATCCAAGTTATCAGATCCTTTAGGATTCTCAATGTTAGGCACATGGATCTCCTCATTAGTGAAGTGTATTATGGTGGGTTTCTCCGGGACAGTAGAGTTAGCTGATGATTGGAAGTCAATGGTAGCAGTTTCAAGGTTTTCCTTCTCTACAGGTGGAGTTTCTGTGATCACAGTGTTGTTTAGCACGCGATGCTGAGAAGATCTCTTACGAAAACTCCAGCCTCGTTTATCTTTGGAGTCCTTGCTCTGGAAGTAAAATTAAATATGACAAACTACTTTAACAGACAGAAAATACACGTAGAAAATAAAATACATGGATGTAGTAAATGGATTTCCAGATGCCAGTGCAACAATATCAATAAATTCACCAAATTCTCCAGAAAGTAAAATCCATTCAGGTTCTCATTTTTCGAGTGGTTAGAGACGAAAATAAATCAATCTCAACCAGATCACAGAGTCGGTCATTTAGCAAACAACTACAATGCACATAACTCAGATTGATTCTCAGGTCCCCGACCATAATTCATCCATTCAATCTTCTGGCTAATCGATTGCATTGCCACACATTAAAATTTAGAAGACTACTACGCTAAATAAGATGCAAATCAAGCTCAATTGAAACAACACTCACAAATCATATAGAAAAAAGGGGAAATTAAAAACACGACGAAATCAGACCGAACCAAATACCTCAAGTACATCGATCTCATCCGCGTCCTTCGAATCGCTACCACATGTGATTATTTGGAAGCATGAGCGAGACCTCCCCATGTTGAACTTATCCGATTCTCTTTCTTTCTAGGAGACAAAACGGCCTATAATGGTGCGGTCTTGGGAATTGTAGCGAGCGAGAGGAGAAAGAGAAACAAAAACAAAATGTATAGCTGCTGCAAGCAACAGGAGACACGGATCTCAAAGCATCATTAAATCTAGCACAGTTCTTCAGTTGGATTCCGCCATGGGAACGGCTCCGTCGCCCTCAACGATCAGGGGGGGAAAAAAAGTTCAGAGAAGACGAGAAGAAGCTGTCAGATCTCTACGCTTCGGTTTCTCTCGACTCAAATAGATGCTGTCAATTTCTCAGACCCGTTTGGGAAAAAACAAATTATATGGTTAAAAAAAGCAAAAATAAATAAAACAACAAAACAATATATCGTGATACGGTCGAGAAACTCACTCGCGAGAATTTAATTATTTTCATGAATAAAACTAATTTTTAATTCTTTTTAAGAATTTCTAAGGATTCGATATTTTGGTTTTGTTGGGAGTTAATTTTAAAGCTTAATTAAAGATATGTAATCTTTTTCTTGCTTTTGTCTGATTAGAAGTTGTAATTAAGGAATAATGACACTTAATATAGTGGGGCCCACTCTATTATTTAAATCCTCGGTTTAGTTAAATTAATACAAGCAACGGTAACTTGGGGAAAAAGAGGTTTTAGCTGGATAAGGACGAGAATCACTTTTTTTTTTCTTTTCCACTATGGCTTCTTTTTTAAGAAATCTCCTTTAAATTAAATGTGTAAATTATAAAATTTCGTACATCTGTCTTTATTTAATTTTCGTTTTTGAATTTATATTATAATATTTCTTAGTACAATAAATCTATAATAGAGGAGTTTCAATCTTCGAACTTAAGAAAAATAATACATATTATTACTGCTGAGCTATGTTATACTTGTATTGATAAAGTTTATATTTACTTTTATTTTTCTCGTTTACGTTTAATATGATACTATATTAAATATAATTGAGATAAAATACTATAAATTTTAGTTGTCACCGAATGAATCGATAACCAAATTTGATGACAATGTCAATAAAATATGGATGTCATACATCTTTGTAAAAGAATTGTAAAAATAAAAAATTTATAATAATAATTTAAATTAACAAATAAACATTTCACCATTTTTAATTAAGTTACAAATTATTAACCAATTACTAGATCGTGTGATTTTGTTTGGGAGTAGGTAATGATTTTGAGTACAAGTTCGTCCATCAACAACTAATCCAACCTAGATCATGATGGATGTGATGTTATGTAACAATTTTTCCATGTTTGTTGTCCTAATTAATTTTTATATTTGTAATATTTTCAAATTTATATGTATTATTTTAATTTATTAATGTAAACATGATCATGTCAGTACCATGAAAATCCATATCAAATGGACACATATTTGAAACGTGTTGAGCTCTTGAATAAAAATTGGATCTTTTGTCAAATGATTAACAAATAATTAACACAATTATTTAAAAAAATGACTTTTTATGCCAAGTAAGTGCAACATTTAAAAGACGTACCGATGAAACGAATCATCAAAATAAAATAAGTACCAAAATTTAGGTTAAATTATAAAATTGGTTCCTATAATTTGGGCATGATTTTAATTTGCCACCTAATTCTAATTTTTTTTAACTTAAACTTATGACTTTAAAATCAAAGTTCACAAGTAGTCTCTATTAGACTACTATTACTATTTTGACCCGCAATGTGTTCGTATTCTTTTACTTGGTTAATTAGGTTGATTAATTATATTAAATGTTAAAGACTAAATAAATAGTAAGAATGGGTAAAAGATGACCAAACTAAAACTGATGCGGAAATATATGAACTAAATTGAAAATTGAGAAAAGAAAAAACTAAATTTATAATTTAATCCAAAGTTATAACTAAAATAAAACATACATACAATATACAAATATATATATAGCGGCGGACAAATAGTAACGTTAAAATTGGGGAAGCAACTGCCCACTTGCAGCTCACCGCCACGTGGACATGACATGAGTTGGCACATGGACCCAAACAAGCGGGCTACTTTTGTCATTATGTCGAGTCCGTCCGATAATACTAATTTATTACAAGTTTAAAAAAATACAATAATTATTATAAAATAATGATAAATGGGATGGAAATTGGAAAGGGGATATTGCACTAGGAAACTACCACGTAGAACCCACTTATAGGAAAAAATGATTATTTGATTTGATCCAAAATTTTCTTGTTGATTATGAAGTTTAATTAATTAAGGTAGATAATTTCTTCCCTAAAGTCGCCTCACGGCATGATTTTGCGCTAACAGATAATGTGGCTTCAGTCAAACTAATAATAATAATAATAATAAAAGATAATTTTGGTAAGAATACTATGCTTGTTAATAAATTCTTTTATTCTCCCAAGCATATTTTAAAACGAAAATATTCAAAGGGCTAGATTATTCTAAGGAGATTTATCACTTAGAATTTAGAAGGAGAAATAGGTAGAGTGAAAGGAGTGAAACAAGTCCGTTTCAATAGTGATCCATCGTGGAATGAATAGTCAAGAATGTTAATAGATCTATGAACTTTGTGTAATGAAGCTAGAGTTTCGTTAGTCACGAAATTGAAGTAAAAATTAAAATTTCAATGATCTATTAAACACTTTTAAAGTTCAAAGACGTGTTTTATAAATTTAGAGATTTAACCTCTAGTTTAACTTTTGGCAAAGGTTTTAATTAAAATTTTGAATCGTGATTCTACATTTCAACCATGAGTTAATTTCTGTTGTTAATATTAACTTAATTATTATGTTACATACCTAATGAAAAAATATTGGTTAATATGGCATGATAAGCTAAACAAACGAAAGAATGCACTCACTGTTTTTATTTATTTAATTGTCTAGTTTCTTCCCTTATTTGTATTGCCATATTATCCCATAGATATTTATCATATAATTATTTAGTTAATTGCAAAAGGAAAAAAAAAAAAAAAAAGCCCCCCGCTAATGTAACTTAAACTTTGATAGTTAAATAGATACCCTACTAAATTTGTAATTTAACAAACTCCTTGTTATCAAATTTATTTCTTATGTTAAAACTAAAATACATGTGATTATTTTTAATTAGTTGTCCCAATTTGGTTAAGCCAACCAATTTTTCAAGTCAACTTTAATTGGTTCGAATAATTTTCCCAATCGTTTTTTTTTAAATCAACATATCAACCAACATTAAGTTTCCTTTATAAAATATAAAACCAAAAAAATCAAATTGTTTACCCTTTGACATACTAAAATGTTGTTCTTGCTAGCATAACTCAACAAGCATATATCTTCGATACAAAAAGGTTGGGATTCAAATCCTCACTGCCACGAGTTCTTAAATTAAAAAAAAAGATTTAAAAAGAAAAAAAAATGCCCTTCCTACTACATCATCTCAAATGACCAACAAGAAAGGTAGGAGAAGAAACGCTCTCTTCACAGCCTGCTAAGATATCAATGTCTCATCTCACGCGCACCCCACCAATCAAATTAATCTAACGGTACATCCCTCAAAGGGACCTAATTTAGTCCCTATAATTTTAATTTAGTTCCAAAATTTGAATCTAGTTTCAATTTGATCCGTGTAATTTTAAAAGTTTTATAAATCGACTCTATTGTTACCATATTGTCACTTTTTCTTTTTTATATGGCAATGAGTTGAAGTTTTCTATTTTGATAAGTAAATTAATTGATTGTATTAAAATTTTAGGCTAAGCAAAAAAACAGAAGGAAATAGGAAGTTTCTTTTAGAGGGATAAAATACAATTTAGGGACAACTTGTGATATTTAACTCTAGTGCACGGCATAAATAGAGGATGGAAGGAAAAAAATAATTCAGTGGTAGAAGATATATTAAAGGGAAAGTTCATTTCAATTGTCGATGTTGATGAAAATTAACAAGACATTCATAAAAAAATATTTAAATTAACAAATAAACATTCCGTCTTTTTAAAATAAGTTCAAAATTACAATTATTAATATCATGTCAAGGTTAGTGATATTTTCTTTTATATTTTATCAATATTTTTTTTCTTTTTTGCAATACTATAAAAATATCGATACATCTCTTATGTGGATATCGAACCTACGAACATATGAAAATGTTGACATGTCGACCGTAATTTAATTACCTGATTGGCTCATAAGTCACCACCATGTGAGAGATCTTTCCCAATGTAGAACATGAGAGAGCAGTACAAATCCAACCATGTTCCAAAGAATATTTAAGTGTGTGTAGGAGTACCAACCAACACTCTCAGCCATTCTTTCCCTATTTAATATAACTTGGTTGTTTGGTCTCAATCATTCATTTTTCTCTTTCCCCTTTGTATTTAAGTCATATTAACTAACACCAAATCTCCACCTACCCATTTTTATACAAGTGTGTCCAAAAATAGTTGTTCTCGTTGATCGGTCTAATCTCGAGGAATAACCCTATTTATTAACCCTACAATATTCATGTTCAGAAGTTATGTCTGCTATTCGATTGAACCTGAACTTGATAACTTGTTCGCAGGAGATTTTGAATATCGAGATCTCTGTGTTTTGATTAGATTAAACTTTCGGTGAAATTTTAAAACTACCAAATTGATCAATTTCTACTAAACTCAGATAATTAGCCTCTAAACGGTTTGATTGGATTGATTTAACTTTTGCTCTTCAAATTAGCTTTGGTAAAGATTTTGTGGGTGTATGAGATAGTTTTACTATGCCTCAACTAAACTTATAAGAAATTGTCTTTGTATACTCAACATGTGATATTCAAATACACGACCTTTTGTCAAAGATATATGTCTTAACCAGTTCAACTATGTTCATGTTGACAAAAAAAAATTGTCTTTTTTATCTCCTTATAATATTTTATATTCGAAAAGCTTAAGTAAGACTGATTTGTTTTTAGAAAAACTGTAATGGGTGATTAGAAGGGAAATAATTTTTAAAAAATAATTATTCGAAGATTTTATTGAATTTTTGCTCAAAAAAATTTGTTTTGAAAACATTTCTCAAATAACCTTAAAATAGGTGATGTTGTCTAAACTTGAATTAGATTAGGTTAGCAATTTATATGTCTATCCAACTATTGATTCATACATGATTTTTGAACATATCCAAATCATTTTATTGGTAGAAACTCCACCAAACTTCACTATCTACTACTAAATTTAGACAACCTCTAGATGAATATGAAGAGACAATTCAATTTGATTGAATTTTGAAAGTGAAAGGAGCTAATGTCAATGCTTCCCAACTGATGGATGGTTATTTAAGCAAAGTTTTAAAATATATTTTGGTTTTTTTTTTACGATTTTTTAATATATATATAATGATTTTATTTTAATTATTAAACTTTTTGAAGGTCTTGAAATTGATCTATTTCAGATCTGTAATTTCAAAATGTTCATTTTCGGACCTTCATTTTTTTTTCAATTCCAACGTTACACTTAATGAATCTTTTGAAAGGGAGTCATAACTTTGAATTTAAGAGTATTTTTTAGTACTACAATTTGAAAATATAGGGGATCGAACTTCCAACCTCGAGAGAAAGAGTGTACGTCAATTACCTGCTCATGTTGGCAATTTGAGAGTTTTTGTTGTATATAAAATTTGTGTTGAAATGTTGCAAACAGACTAAAATGGACACTTCTTTAAAAGTTTGAATATTTAAAAAACACGCTAACAAAAATTAAAATTATAGAACCAAAATGAACCAAACACTCGTAATAATATTTAAAAATAAAATAAATATTAAAAAAAAAAACTTGAAGAATCTCAACAAATTAATAAGCATTTCTTAGGTGCAAGAAGCATATGACACTCCACCGTCTGGTCATCTTTCAAAGAAAGACTTATGGAGCCAACCTCACATGGGRAAAAAAAACATAAATCTTTTAAAGAAAAATGATTCTCATAATGGTAATAAATAATTTTTAAAAAAAAATTAAAAAAGGAAAAAGAAAGAAAAGTAACTTTCAAAAGGCTATGATTTGAAGCTGCTCCCACAGTGTGACCACTGACCTTTTTTCAGGATAAATTTAGGGACCCTTTCCAATAAAAATTTTGGTCCCTCCTTCCAATTTGGCCATTAAAATCTCGAAAATTTTATTTTAAGCTCTCGAATCTTAATAAGTTTTAAATTTAGTCCTAATCGTAGAAACTGTTAATAAAAACGTAACATGACTTGCATTTTTTTGTTGTATGATATATACGATCTTGAGTGTTAAAAATTTTCTAATAACGTTTTCTTTATTCTTTTTAACTTCTTTTTCATCTATTTTTTCTTTTTCTCAGATTTTTTTTTGTGAGTGATGTTTAATATATTTATACTAACATCTCCGTTTCATGAATAATTATTAATTAAAAAGTTGCTAAGAAATTAGAAATGAAGATAAACTCTAGGAAAAAAAGAAAACTATATATAAAACCTTTAAAATATATTATTCCAACAATTACCACTTATTTTTTAGAATAAATTTCCAAGTTATTGTATTTTACAAAAAAATTTACAACCCCACGATTTTTGGAAGGACCACTTTTTATATGGTTATAATCAATATTATTAATGTAATAAAATTCGTGAAATATTTAGCTTTTGATTAATAATGGCAAGATCTCAATAGATCACTTGGTGGATCATATCACAATTATTATAATGTTATTATATTTGGACCAATGAGCACTTTTTTCACTTTTAATAATATAGAGGGTACTAGCATAATTCAAATAAAATTTAATTACAAGTTAGTCATTAAATTTTAACCAWTGTATTTAATAGGTATTTTAACTTTAAAAATATCTATTATGTCATTACACTTTTAATTTGTATCTAAYAGTAATTTTACAAATATATGGAACTTCGTGAACATATTTTTTTAACTGTATCTAACGGTAACTTTACAAATATATAGAACTTCGTTAACATATTTTTTTAACTGTATCTAACAGTAAGTTTACAAATATATAGAACTTCGTTAACATATCTTTTTTATTTTCTTTTAATTTTGACAAATTTTATATTTTTTGGTTGAGTGTTTCATACATGTAGTTTTAAATAACAGTAAATGTCCATTACGTTATACGAAATAATTCTTTAAAAACAGTAAATAGCATCATAAAATATATTGGTCTTATTAAAGAACATCAATAAATTATCTTTTTCTTCTTCTTTTTTTTTTATAGAAAATCTATATTCAGAATTTAAAAGCATTTCTATTTGATTAGTAAATTCGGAAGCTTTATTATTATATAAAACATTAAATTTAATTGGGAAGCTTGATCGAATATATCACTTAGATATAGCTTCATCTAAAGCTTAAATCTACCACATTATAAATAAATAAATAAAAGATTAAATCTCTCTATTCCACTTGTAACTTAAAATATATATATATATATATATATATATATATATAAAGTCTGTATAAACGTTAAAAATTTTAATTTTAATTTTATTAAAAACGTTTAAAATAAGCTTCATTAAAATACTAAAATCCATTTTATTAGCTTTTTTTTAGTACATCACGTGGGGTTCATGTGGGGTAGAGATTCAGAACCACAATTTTTTTTTATTGGAGATAAGTGTCTTGATCAGTTAAGTTATTATTTCATAGAGAAAATTCAACTGTAATGATAATTAAAAAAGATAAAAAGATAGAATGTACTTTAAAAAGAAAGACAAAAAGATAGAAAGAAAACTTGCAAAATGACATGTTTAACCCCATAAAAAATTATTCCGTTTTAAATTTTCTATTTTTAAAAATTGTTTTCTCCAAATTTWTTTGGTATGCTTTTGGCCTTTCTTCAAAATAGAGATTACTTTTTTTGTTTTCAAAATTTGGCTTAGATTTCAAAAACGTTTTTAGAAAATTTGACGAGGTAATAGTTGGAAGCTTAATTTTCAAAAGTAGAAAATAAAAAAATAAAAAGAAAATAGTAAATTAAACATCAAAATCCAAAAATCTCAAAGTTGTCTCTAATTCCACGAATTTTTGGAGATGGAGATTTAGTAAAAATGATAAAGTTGGTGGAAATAAAATGATGATAATTGGAGATGGGACCTGCTTGGTTGTATAGTTTGAAAGTGAGATGAGTTGTTGCAGCTTGAGAGCTACTGATGCTCACTCCCAAACTTTCAAACCTTCAATTTCTAAGCAAAAATCATTCATTCATGGTCCCACCTCTCAAACACAACCTTAAATTGCAAAATTTTGTATTCGATAATCTCCTTCTCTAGATTTTGTAGAATTTTTTTTTTACTTTGGGAGTGAGATTAATTTAACTTAAAAAGTTTTTAGTTCTGTTAATTAAACAAATGGTGAATGTAATTGTTTTTATCATTTGAACTTTTTTTTTTCTTTCTTTCTTAAGGTTTGTTGCTATGCAAACTCTTGCCATGGAACGAGACTATTTTTATGGGTATTGAATGTTCTACTTATGTTGGCCTGTTTTTAGCTAGATTTTGATATTTTTGTGTTTAATCAAACACTTTTTAACTAGTAATTAAATTTTGAAATTTTTACGGTTGAGTTTAAGTATTTTCGACCTAAGAGGCAGGTAAGGATGGCAACAAGATAAGGTTGGGATGTCTTTTCTGTTCCCATAAGGATTTAAATCCCACGCCTCGCCTCTTTATTTATTATTATTTTTTTAGATAAATATTATATAATTATTTAACCAAACCAGAGAAAAATATATCTTCACAACAATTTTTTTTAGTTCAGTTCAGTAAATATGTGGTGGAGATCAAGATAACAAGTGTTTTATCTACTAAACTATACTTAAATTGACAATCAAAATAGAAGCTTAATTTATTTATATTATTCGGAATAGTGACCAAACTTTCACTAAAAAATTTAAATCTTTATTTTTCGATAAATTTGTGGTCAGAACATAAATCGGCCCAAACCATTGGGCCAGAGAAAAAATAGGCCCAACCTCAGTAGTCATGCACGTGACAGCCAGCGATTAGGTGTTCCAATATCATTCGTCCGTGACACAACTTCAGTCACCGCCAAAAAACTCCATACCCGGATCGCACGTGCCGCGGGTTTTCCATCTACAAATCGCAGCCGTCCGATTTCCGGTCCAAATCCAAAATCACCGGGTCGAACTGTTATAAAGCCCGCAATCTGTTCTTCTTTCCTATCAAAAAAACCCTAGACCCACTGGAACCTCCCATGGAAACGCCGTCTTTTCATCTTCTCCAGCCCTTTCAAATTTTCTCAGCTCGTTCTTCTTTCTTTCGATCTTGGTTGGCGTTAGGGTTTAAGCGCAACTTTTTTTCTTCGATTTTTGCTAATGGTTATGAGTTCCAACTCGGAAAAGGGCAGATGACGAACTTTCGAATGGTAGAATGCTCCAGTCGCGAACTTGGAGTATGCTGATTAACCACTTTGTATAGGAAGATCTGATGCCTCTTCAAATCATTTCGTCTAGATTTTTTTCCTCTTGATTTCTTTGTTTTCTTTAACTTTGTTCTTCTGGATTTGAAATCACTGTTTCTTTTATTTTTTTGGTTCTGGATGATGAGAAAACATGAAATATACAGTTATCCCTGGCTGATTCACAGTGCTGATATTTCACACTCTGACAGTGTTTTGATTCTTCGAATGATTACTTTTGTGTTTTTCTTCTTTCGTTTCATGTTTATCTTTTTTTTCTCTTCGCTCTTAGATGTGGCCAGTGATGGAGAATTTTTTGGTTCACTGAGATGCAAAATTGAAATATTTGCATCTGTGTTGAAAATATTTTGAACTAGGACGGTCTGAGGCTCATACCTTTCTGATTTCCCTTGTTAACAAGTTATGAAACTCTTTCAACAATTTCAATTGATTCACATTGCTCTTTTGGATTGAAAATTGAATGAATTCGTGTGATAATTTAGTTTTTGAATGAAGCTTTTTACCTCTGGTTTGTTCAAGTGATTTGGGTGATGAAACAAAGAAATATCAGTTATCCCTGTCTGATTTTTCGATGCTGATGATTCATGATCTGACACACTTTAGTATTTTTCAACTAGTTTTAGATGTTTCCTCAAATGGTTTTCCCTAACCCAAGATCCAACAATTATTTGAGCTTCATAATTTCAAGAAAATTCGAAATACACCAATCACATAAGCAAGGCCTGATTGGATCAATAAAGAAACTAGAGCTAATAGGTGAAGATAATTAAAGTGGCAAGAATTTGTCTTAATTTTACCTAGTGGACTGAGTTTCATTGGAGATTCATCGACAACAGATACATCTTGAAAGATGATACAGAATACTACAAAATGGTGGCCATACTCTGATATTTTTAATACAACCCTGATCTTAATAATAGAAACATACATACCTTTACAATTATTTGGAGGACGACTTGGCTTGCATAAGGGCTTGAAAGAAGCCACTTCAAAAGTGCTAAAAGAATCGACATGGCTTTGAAGTACTTGGCTCATGCAATTCTCTCCAACAAACTTGCTGATTGAGAGAGAGGATCAGAACCCATAATTAAACTGAAGATATCGATAGCTGCTAACCTTTTTTTGGATGCTATGCTATCCTTTATTGTTTTGCTGAAAGTGGAGGGAAATTTTGAGGTAGTGTCCTTTGCTAGCTTGGCCATTCCCTCCATTTTTCTACTCTTCATGCTACTACTCCGTGAGTAAACTAGAGTGGTTACTTAATTGTGATGTAACGATTTGTTCCATGCTTTGCCCAGTGATTTTTGAGATCAACTGGAGCAGATAAATCATGACCTTCAGCTGCAAGCCGGCTGAGCAACTTGTTAAAGGCGCTTCCGCTCATCTTTCGACCCCCAACTCGGGCGTGTCGTTTGTTGGGAACTGCAGGCAATGGATACATTGACATGGTGGTGGTACAACATGCGGATTGCCATCCACCATTTCCCCATTTGTAGCATTGTCTTATAACTCCTGTGCAGGAGCATATTGGGGCTGGCATTGTAGATTCATCAAAGGCAACCTGGTTTAGCCCCAGATCCTGACCCTTCCAATCCAACTTTGACACTACCAACTGTTTGTTAAGATCATCACCTCCACTCATGATGCCAATTTCATCCTTCCATTCTTGTGATTTGCCCAGCATTATCTTATTCAAGTCTTCAGCCTCCCTTTTGACCTTCCTTGGAGCTTTTGAAACCTTCTTGTTAGGTGTTGTGACTGCTTTTGCCTCCTTTGTTCGCTTGTTTCTCCTTGCCTTTGTTGATTCAGAAGCAACTGGGGATACTGGGCAGGCATCGTTGGGATGCATTTCTCTTGGATTGTAAGTAGTTTCGTTCATGTGAGGCACATGATGCGTGTGTTGCTGCTGCTGCTGCTGTGGGTGGTGTATATGCTTCACTCCCCTAGCAATTTGGCACCCTGGTGGACATGATAAATTGTTACTCGTTAGGGAGTTTTCACGATACTGAAGAGTTGCAATGGCATTGTCTCTTTCCAAAAGGGCATTGTTCCTCTCTGCAATTGCAGCATCTCGTTGTAGATAAGCCATGTCTCGCTCTGCCAATGCTGTCTTCTTCTCGGAAAGGGCCAAATTTCTCTCTTGAATGGCTGCATCTCTTTCAGCCATAATTGCCATTATCTGCTTCATTGATGGCTGATGCTGCATCATCCACTGCCGGGACGAATTCAAACGAAGTTTATCAAATTGTTACAACTTGAAAGATTTAATGTGATAATGACATTGTTGATCAGATTTTATTCATCTTGATACCTGACCCTGAGCCGACTTGTACTGATGCTCTGCTTTGTGCCTTCCATTCTCACGATGCCCACTATCATCCATTTATGACTCCCAAAAACTAATAACCAACACAGACACAGCAATAAAAAGCTCCACTGCAAGCAAAATGGCAATTAATATGCCAAATGTTATCAATCTATCACCTAACTACAATACGAAAATGAAGGAAAAGGATGTCATTTGAAACAAAATATTTACAAGTTGCTGAAACTCAAAAGCATTAACATTGATTGTGGTGTAAGATTGTCAGGGTTCTCCACTTAAGTTATAAATTTTTATTGCGTCCTCATTCGACTTAAAATGATATGACCAGAAGGACAAAGATTATACAAAATGCTATTTGAGGATTATGTTCAACTTTTCTTGTCTTTAACGTCTGAAATCATTCATTATTTCCTTATACAAATCGGCTCCTTTATACAAATCCAAATTCAATCTCATGTGACACGAACTAAAATTTATTTAACCTAATTTTTATGCAGGATCCTTAATTACAACCCAAACAACCCCTTAAAGATCCTATTAAAATTTATCATCAATCCTTTAATTACATTTACAATTTACTACCACAACCTAGAGCCTATTGACTTTTTTTCAAACTTTCGACCAAATAAAGAAAGATTACAAAAAGTTGACAAGCCGTCAACCTACCAAACCAATTTGGGTTATAAAGAAATCTCTCCAAAAAAGGAATTTAGCAATAGAACACAAAAGGGAAGATCTAGAAACACTTTTAAAACATCTGGGCAACAACAAACAAGAAAGAGAAACAATACTTTTGTAATAGATTTTAGCTGCAGTAGCAATTCATCAAGAGTGTAAGGAAACAGTAATAAGCAGAAATAAAATGTCCGGCCAGGATGCGAAACAGAGTTAAATGAAGAGTAGAAGCTAAATCAAGTCTTCACCTGAAATCAGAAGATTGAACAAGTCATTCGCTAGAATTGTTTACCTCTAGTCAGCTCTAATGGCTGACCCACCTTCCCCATCTCTTCCTCCATCGGATCACCTGGATAACGCAACTCAACATAAACTACACAGCCAAACATCACTTAAAATCAACAATGTTTTTGTAATTTTTCATAATTTACAACGATCAAGTCAAAGTAGCTGCAAACGTATGTTTATCGAGCTCAATTTCGCTGGAAAATAGGGCGAAAAGGGCTAAAGATTAGGAAGAAAGCAAAAATCATAAAGATCCGATTCTATACTACGACCAGGAAAGTAAGCCAGAGTCAACTTTTCCGCTTCGAGTCCTGAGCTTAAAGCCAAACCTCCAACTCAAAAAGAACAAGAAAAGCTAACCGCAACTAATTCGACAGAAAGAAAAAATAATCAGAAGCAGACGAAACCCTAGAAAACAAAAACCCCCAAATTCTAACTACAAGCTTCACTTCGACAGCAAACAACAAAAACAGGCTAATCACAAGCTGAATCGAAGCAGATTTCGCAGAAATTGAACAGGAAAAAACCACGGCGAAGCTACTCGACGAAGAACTAAAACATACGGAGACTATTAATGGAGTAAAAATCAGAAAACAGAAGTAAACAACCGCAGTGAAGAAAAAGTCGACGAGAAAGCGAAAAAATATCAAAAATAGCAGAAAATGGAAGAGAAATCAACACTTACCAGTGAGAAGGAAAGAGAGGAAGAAGAACTCGCGACTGATGAAAAAGAGAAGAAGACGGAAAAAAGGATTGAAAATCTGTGGAAAGAACAGTTGTAAGCAGAGCAGAGGGACAAAGGAATCTCTCTCTCTCTCTTCGTTTTTCTCTCTCTATTTCTCAATTTCTTTTTTCATTTTTATTTTCTAGCTTTCTGTCTCTGTTCACATTTCCAAATTCTGCTACAATTTTTTTCACCCTTCTTTTGGTTTAAATATTTTTTTGCGGTTTTTATGAGAAATAAAAGAGTAATGATAATAATTAATATAATAGGGGAATTATTATTACACAGGAAAACGGGTCGGGCGGGTTAATCTGAGCCGTCGAAACTGGAAAAGGGGGTGAGGATCTTGCCGCCATTGGAGGGTGGAATCTTTTTCCGAAGCAACCGGGAAAAGAGCGGGTTTCAAATGGAATTTTCAATTTTTCAACTTTTCGCCCGGTGCTCCACGGAAGATTTGACGACATGTCGTTTACTTACAATTTTAACAAGTCTGAAAGATGTATGAATTATTGAAGAAAATAAGTCTTCTTTTCTTTTTTTAGAATATAACATAAATGTGGAAATTTGAAACTCCAATCACTAATATTTTAACGAATTAGGTAATGTTAAAATTGAGAGAAAAAAAAAGATTATCGAATTTGGGGTTGGTGCAACTTAGGCTTAAGATAGATTTTTACTAGTATTAGTTTATATAATATTAATTAGTGTGATTATGAGAGTAATAAATTTATGATAAGCAAACCCACATCTAAAAAATAGGCTCAACTTCTTAATCTCAAGTTACACTAATTAAATTTGTTAGCCAAATACTTTTCGAATAAATTACAAGTTTACGTGGTTTATTTTCTTCTGTAATTATTCTTGGAGTTTTTTTTTTTTCTTCTATTCTAAGATATGGTAATTTTTTTGTGGGAAGGGAGAATTTGCAGGGAGGTGTTTGGTTCAAAGGAATTAGAATGGGAAAATATGGGAAAATATTGACCAGCTTTTTGATTGGACAATGACAATTTCAAAATACTAGTAAAAGAAAATTTGCTTAATTGGTAGTTGGTACCAACTATTCTATCAATAATTATTAATTATAAAGACAATGATAATTATAAACGTTATGCTTTCTAATAACAATTTCTAAGGAGCGGTTTCTAAAATCTTATCCAAATTTTTAATAGGTAAACATAAACAGTATGTTGTCATATTGTATTGTTATCTTTTATTTTCTTTATTTTTATTTTAAGTGGGTCAAATTAAGTGGTCAGATGAATTATGATCGGAGGAATTACCTTTAATTCTAGAGTTCTAATTCCTTCCCCACATACTCAGAGGTTAACTATCGAGAATTTAAAATTTTTCTAAAATGAAAGTTTAGTCTATTGTCCCTTTCGATTTCCGTACTTTTGTTTTCATTTGAAATTGAAACATAGTATTAAAAAATTCTGGTATTAATTTTTAAAATTTGGCTAAATCAATAATACTGAAATGATTGTAAAATCTAAATTAATAAATCAATGGTTTGTGTTAGAATCCATATAAATCAATTAAATTTACACAACCCATCAGCTTAAGTTTTTGGATTGAGTGGTGGTATCTTCATTCTTAAGATGGTATCAGAGTGGGAGGTCCTACGTTCGAATCCCTGCATTGTCGTTTCCTCCGTTGAGTGGTTCAGGGAATCCTAATCCTTACTTCAAATGAATTTGAAATTCAATCCCATAAATTAGTATGGTTTGAAATCTCATAGAATTTTAGCATAAACTACTCATTTAATCTTTTCATATTTTAATATTAATATTCTATTGATAAATTAAAATTAAAACGCATATTAGTAAATTTTTATTTTATTTTCTTTTTCAATGAACATCAAAACAAAAGAATTTAAGATTCCTCTTTCATTTTTAGTTTTCTATTTTTGAAAATTAAGCTTATTTCCCTAATTTCTTTGATATATTTTTTTTTTGTCTTATTACCTTTTTAGTTTTCAAAATCTGTCTATTTTGAAAAAAAAAAAATAGTAAATAACAAAACAAAAAACACAGAGATGTTATAAGCTTAATTAGAAAACTAAAAATCAAATCAACATGACTTTAATTACTTTCATTTTAATTCTCTCTTTCCAAACAGGATAAACATTTTTAAAATATCTCGAGAACTTGAGCTAACACCATATGAAACTACTGGTTGATTTACCTGCATTTTGAGAGCAATGTCCGATGTTGATGGAGCTGGCCCGGCCGTAAATTCGATTGCCTCGACTCGATTTCAGACTCATAGTAAATCAATCGCACGTTGCTTCCAAGAACCAGAGAAGATTTGCAAGTTGAAATGCAATGCTATGTGATGAAATGATTGATGACAAATTAAGATCAAAGTGAATCCTGCTACTGCTGATTCTACGTCCCAAAGTCTAGTCCTTGTTTTCTTTCTTCTCAATGCTCGACTTATTCAGGATCAGCACGCCAATTACGATCAATAAGGCACCTACAAACCACTGGAAAATAGCACCCTGGTGTTAAGAGTTTCGAGTTTTAACATGTTAACTGCTTTTGAAGCTAAAACAGCTACTGCAACTTTAGGGTGTGCGGGAAAACATCAAATTATTATTCAATGTCATTGTTGGTTTCTACGTTTATGTAGGTAAATAACTGAGAGAGTACTGCAAATCAAGTATAAGAAAATGATAACGATCGATGGTGCATTAGATTATGAAAACACGGGCATATGAAGAGGTGTATCATCTGCAACTATGTCACATCAATGCTGTTTTTTGTTTAACACTGTTAATGTAGTAATCAGAAAATATCTTGCACCCAAACTCCTCAGTGAACTTAAATAAGATAACGGAAAAAGTTAGTAATCTTCAGGTAAGTAAGAGACGAGATGAGTTGCAGAGAGTAAACAGAGGAGATGCCACAAGACTAAAGGTCATGGAATTCAGCATATAAAGACTGACCTCCTGAGCTGCTGAAGAACATATCGATAGTCGATATATAGGGAACAGTTAGTGTAACTATAGTCATGCACGGAGGAAGAAATGATTACAATTACAGATAATTGTCCAGCATATACAATGCAGTCAATATTTTTACCGGAAGTCAAAAGTGTATTGTGCATAAGAACTTGGCTAAATATTCTGCTGTAAGGCAATTGGATAAAAATGGGAACTCAATTCGATTAGATTCAGAGTTGAACAAGAAATGAGTACGATCAATGGATTTACCTGAAACGATAATGCTTCTTCAAATAAAAAGAAACCAGCTAGACCGGAACAAAGAAAGTTGGTTGAAAAGTTTGTCCCTGTAGCTTGCAATGAAGACAGAGCTTTTAAGCTATTGACAAAACATCCCCACATTGCCAAGTTGAACGCTATTACCAGTCCAAACCTAATTAACTGTTCAAAAAAGAAATGCTCAAATCAAAACAAACATAGAGGAAAACTGGGAATGGATCGGTATAGCATGTTAAGGAGTGTTTGCTGTAGCTGTAGACATAAGTTCTCAGATAACATTTGATAATATATCATAACAAAAAAGAAGGTAAGAAGTCTGTGCGATATCAGCCGCCTTAACATTACAGCGATAATGTCCACTACCTAACCATCATTGGTGGCTCATTGGTCCAAAGGAAAGAGGGCAGCTCCCAATTTATGGAAACTTTCTTTAAGTATTTGCTTGCAACCTCGAGTATACAACCAGGAATTGCCTCACATTGATGAACCCTTTTCTAAAGAAGATATTGTGCATTGATGTATTGAAAAATTACAACAAGAATCTACATTCACACCAATCAGATTTATATAAAATCATCCTAACTAGAGTTAATTACAATTTAGAACTGAAAATAATTACAGAAAGAAGATGCATGAAATCATGCTAGATCTACTCTCTCCTTCCTAGCAACGCATTGGCCTAAGAAAACCTCTTGATTTCTTTCATACCACAACTCCTAGATGATAGCTTTGGTCCACAAAATTTTAACCCAGTTCTTGAACTATGCCCACCTAGCAACTTGAAGAGTTGCTGGGGCACTTTCTTTTTACTCCATTAGTCGTTTTTAAGCCTCACAGAAGTAGAGTCTACATCAACACGTCCTACGTTTAATCTTTCACAAAGCCCTTGAAAGGTCCCTTGGATCATATGATACAAGAAGAGTTGAATTCTTTGATAAAGGACCTTACCGAGGAATAACCTGCCTGAGGGCTCCTACTGTCAATGTCTCTTCCCTCTCAATAAGAAAACACAACCCACAAGGACATCCGACAAAGCTTGTAGCTCTTCCATTTCCTCTTCCTACGGATTTCTTCTAGCAACAGCAATCCACGATTGAGTTGCCTCATCCCGATGCATTATCTGACTTCAAACCAATATGAACTGCGGGAACCTAGCTGCAAGAGGTAGATTAACTACCCATCTTTCCTTCCAAAACAAAGTTTTTCTCCATTACAAACATAATTGAATAGAATTCTGCATATGGCACCAAGAGTTGGAGATACGCCGAGGACCTCTCCCACTTTCACCCTTCTTACTCTTGGTAAACCACATCTTTACCATAAATACTAACCACAATCTTGCCAAAACTCATTTGAATCTTTGGTGAACCTCCACTGCGTCTTTGTCAAAAAAGCTTCATTTCTCTTCCTTGAACCACCTACGCCCAACTCTCCACATTCTAAGGATTTAAACAAAAATATTCCAACCCAAAAATTCCCCAGGTACTTTAATCACATTTTTTACAGACAGTTCCATTTCACATACAAGATATAGTGATTATTTAAGTGATGATGCAACATAGCATACACGATTGCAGTATAATTAGAACGAGAATGACAAAAAATTGAGACAATTGACAAAAGAATTCAATCATTCACAGGGTTTACCATGGTAGACAGCTCAAAATTGTGCTGGTTCATATACATTAGGGCAAATCACCGCGTTATACGAGCTATCGTTTTAGATTTGTGACTGGAACAATTCAAATTCAAACAGGAAAGAAATGGAGAAAGTTACCGTAGAGGAGAAAAGCTTCGCGGCAATGGCGGCTAAAGCAGCGTTGAAGCCGGCTGAAATTGCCCACACGTAACCCTTCTTCCCCTTCTTCCCTTCCATGGCAGTCGGCAGAGTGAAACTTCTCCTCTTTGGATTGTGGGCAAGGCAGCGAACCGGCTTGGGTCGATCGCGGTTCGGGATGTTTTCATGTTTTTCTGGCTACCGTTGTTAAATTTTTATTATTTTTTAATAATAAACGTGGAGACGGAAGATTGATTAAAAATTACTTTGGGTCGATATCCTTTTCACTCGAGTAATCATTTAATCCCCGACGCTTGTTTTAACATTTAGTCTCTATCGCCAAACCGAGTATAACTCAAGTGGTTAAGACATCTATATCTTGAAGTATTTGACAAATTTAGTTGCAGTAATTTAAAATTTATAACGATTTGGTTTCTATTCTAAAAATAGACATTGTTTAACTACAATTGACCCTTCCTAAAATAAAATAATACAGCATCTTAAATTTTTTAGTATAAACTAGATGTTAATTTACAAATTTTGGTTCTTAACATTTTAAAGTTGTGTCTTAATAGGTTTCTCAATTTTAAAACAATGCCTAATAAAGTTCAATAATTTTTAATATTGTATCTAATATATATATATATATATATATATATATATATATATATATAACATTCTAATTTTGTGTCTAATAGATTTTGAATTCTAATTTTGTGTCTAATAGATTTTGAATTCTAAAAAGTTATCGTCACGGATATGTTAAACACAAAATTGAAAATTTAACGATATGTTAAATAGATTTTCAAATTTATGATTTATTAGAAGCATTGACATATTAAATACCTTTTAAATCGAGAGATTTATTGCATAGTATTAAATATTCGGAGACCATACTTATAAGTTAACATAATCAAATTAGGCTAAATATATGCCACGATCTCTAATCTTAGTTTTTTTCAATTTGGTAATTACTATTTTGAAATTATCAATTATATTAATGTATTTAAAATTATAAAGTTTCTTTATATTTGTAGAGATTTGTTAAATTTTGTTAACATATTTTTTTAATGTTGTTTCCATTAAATTGGTGTATCGTTAAATTATTATTCTATAACATATTTGGACACACGGATATTTCACTTCAAAAAAATTAAAGTTTGTTAATTGGTAAGATGAAGTGTTTATAGACATGCTGAATTTTAACCGTCAAAGTAACATTTTGGAGTACCTTCTCACATGTCTAAATATGTTAATAAAACAATAATTTAACGATACAACAATTTATAGTTTACAAAATTTGTATGGAACAACTTAATTGCAGTACATTAAACGTAAAATTGAAAATTTTAAAGGATCAAAGGATCATATCGAGAATTAATTTTTTTTTAGTACACATCGAGAATTAACTTAAAGATTAGGATCATTGTATATATTAGGGTTCGTTTGGTAACATCGTTGTTTATTTTTTCCAACTTTATTAAGAATCCACTTGACGGATATTTATATTTCTGATTTATAGTTGGGTTAAAAACGTTTTTTAAAATTGTATATAAAATTTAGAAATAATAAAAGAAATTTTTTATTTATTATTATCGTTTCTAATTTGGTCCGAAACTTAAATAAGAATATAATTTTATCACAAATCATGCTATTATATTTTTTTTAATTAAAAAAGTAGGAAAAGAAGAAAGTCAGACTATATTAAGATATATGGATAACGAGGAAGAAGGGGTGGCCCGTGAATGTCTTTCCAATGGTTGGATCACTGTCGTACTTTGGCACGTGCATGACCACCGATGTGTTTGCATGTGACATTCATTCGTTTTTTAGTGCAATAGAGAAGCCATTTAAAAATTAAAAATAAGAATAAAAAAGAGACATTCCAATGTGACATTATGTTGATTAATACCCCTTTTTGTGACTTGAGTGTCGTTTTGAAGCCATACCTTTCTTTTGTCTTCTAAGGGGTCACGCTCTAGTCCAAATAACTAACTCTGACATTTTCTCTAAACGTCTAAGGTTTGTATGTTCATCTTCGTATTTTTACGATGGTCAAGTCAAGTATGTGATATGTGAAAAGATAACGTAGATTAATAGGGAACAAACATTTCCAATAATGCTCAAGTTAGTAAAAATTCGACCTAATCTCTCAAAACAAAGAATATGCAGATTGTATACCTGCATGTGAAAATGATTTACTATTTATAGAATGTGGGTAGTGACTTTAGTCTGTTAGATGATAACAAGAATGAGTTATGCAATTACAAATGGTTTGCACGATATACTTTGGCATAGGTTTTAGGACAAGCTAACAGTGAAGTTTCGAGCTACGTAGATGCACTGGTCGAGCTCAATAACTTGGAGACGACTATTTATTTTCGAAGTTAGATGACAAATTATGTAGAAGATCTATGATAGCACACCATATGGTATGTCATATTTTATCATCCAACAAATTATATACAGACCAATTGGAACGAAATAGTCTATTTTAAAACAATTGTGCAATGCATTTAAATAAGTCAACCTAATAAGCTTTGTCAGTCCATTGGTAACATTTTTAATAAGTAAATTTTTTTGAACCATTTAATAAGTAATTTATATTTATATAAACTAAAAGTTTCAATTAATTATATTTTTATTTAAAATATTATTTTGGTATATGTAATTTCAATATTTTATTTATTTTATGTTTGCTTTGATTTAGGTGTCCATACTTTTAAATGGGACCATTTTTATATATTTTGGATATAAAATATTTTTTAACAACTAAAAATAAATATTTAAATACACGAATAAAAATGGATGGTAAACCTTCATACGAAATCTAGACAATTTTTTTAAAGAAAATAATGTAATATAAAAAGGAAAATCTTTGACTTGAATGATTGAGAAATTTTCCGAGTTCAGTCCAACTCGGTCAGAAATAACTCACCACTAGCCCACGTGTAATTAATAACGACCATGAAAAATAATAAAGGCCACGGTTTTTTTTTTAATTTTTTATAATTTGTAACATAAAAGAGGATCGACACAGATTATCCTGTTTTCCACGTGAAATGAGAAATAGAAAGAAAAAAAAAAGTTCCCTATAGGCTATATGTCGATTTAAATAACAAATAATACATTATAATAGCCCCATTGCTTTTTATTTTATGAAAAGAAACACAAATCATTGCTAATTTTTAAAAGATAATAGTTCTATTAATAATTTCCTTTGAGTAAGTTTAATTTTTTTCCCCATTTTAAGTTAAGTTTTAAAAATATTTATAAAGTGCAAACAAAAAATTTAAACAAACTTTTATTTTTAAATAATAGTAACAGATCCTACGAAGTATCGTATACACATTATAAATATTTATAATTTATAATAAAAAACCTTTGATTATAAATAGAGTATTTTAGTTCATCTTATTTGGAACGTAATTATATGAGAAGAATCGCTACTAATCAACTTTTTGTTTGAGAATATTACATCACAAACAAAAAATAAAAAAGTAGAAATTAAAACCCATAATTTATAAAAATATATATATATGTGTGGGTAATTAATTAGGCAAAATAACTTTGAGAAAAAGATAAAAAGCTGTATAAATATTTGTTTTTCCTCTCTCTCGTTTTTTTCTTTTAAATAGATGAAACATAAAAAGAAAGGTCAGAGTATTCCGTCTTCCTTTTCCATGTGAAAATAAAAGGAAAAAAACAAAATTAAATTAAAAAAATAATAACAATTTCCTCTCCAATTCTCAAACCCTCCGCCCACCACATGCACGATAAAAAACTTTTTTCCCCCATTTTTTTTCCTCACACAATTCTGACCCAAATGCCCCTGCTGGGAATATCCCGATGAACGACAAACACAAGGTAATACCCGGATGGCGCGATGGTACCCGACCCGGGCATGCTGACGTGGACATCATACGTGGCATTTCCCAATTCCGTCACATTCTCGCCGCCGATCACCAGCAGCCTCTGGCTCATGGAGA